AGGCCAAATTCAGAAAGCCAGTGTTTGGGGGGTCTCTAGTCCTGTCCCCTCTGGAGAGAGGTGGATAATAATAATATTATTATTACTGTTTAAGACAGAGCCTTAACCCAGGCTGTCTTAGAACTCTAGACCCTCCTGAGTGCAGGGTTTACAGACATTGGTATCAGTCCTGGCTTATTTTTTTCACTATTTTCAATATAAAAAATGGGTAAGTAGCGTGAAATTCTCCATTTCCCTCACATGCCACTCCATTACCTAAGGCCAGCAGCCTGCCCCAGCCCTTATTCCCAGCATTCATCCTCGCTCTGGAATTACCCTGGGCAAGCCCTCTGGGACAAGTCTCCTGGGCACTGTAATTTCCCTGGCCGCAGTGTGTCATTAGACTCGGTGCTGATGACATGACACCTGTGTGAAGCAAAGATTACAGCCCCTGCTAGGACAGGATGGGACACACTGGGCATGGAGCAGCCCTCTCCACAGCGGCCTCCCCGCCTGTAGGCACTGGCATCTCCAGCCTCTGGCTAGGGCTCAAGACCTACAGCAAGGCTTGGAATGCAACAGGCTATCTCTCCCTGTGAGTATCTCATGAGCTTCTCCAATCCTCATCTGTAAAATGGGCTAGTGACAGCAAGTCCCTTAAGGACCACACAACATTGCTTGCAGAATCTCTTATCCACACTGCTCTGTAAATACAAGCTGTTTGTTTGTTTGTTTTCATTACTACTGTGTGTAGTGTGTGTGTCCGTGATGTGCATATATATGTGCAGGGCAGAGGAGGACAAATTTCCAGAGTCAGTTCTCTCGTTCTACCTCTATGGGGGCTCTAGGATCAAATTTGAGCGTCAGGATTGCATAGTGGCCTAGTTAGGGCCACTATTGCTGTGACGAAACACCATGACCAAAGCAACTTGGGGAGGAAAGGGTTGATTTGGTTTATAATTCTGCATCACTGTTCATCACTGAAGGAAGTCAGGACAGGAACTCAAACAGGGCAGGAACCCAGAGGCAGGAACTGATGCAGAGGCCATGGAGTGGAGCTGCTTACTGGATTGCTCCTCATGGATTGCTCAGCCTGCTTTCTTATAGAACCTGGGAACAGCAGCCCAGGGATGGCCCCACCCATAACTGTCTGTGCCCTCTCCTACAGCCCAATCTTATGAAGGCATTTCCTTTCCTTTCCTTTCCTTTCTTTTTTTTCAGAGCTTCTCTGTATTGCTTTGAAGCCTGTCCTGGAACTGGCTCCGTAGACCAGGCTGGCCTCGAACTCACAAAGATCGCCTGCCTCTGCCTCCCAGTGAGGGGTTAAAGGCGTGTGCCACCAATGCCTGGTTTGGAGGTATTTTCTTAATTGAGGCTCCCTCCTCTCATACAACTCTAACGTGTCGAACTGACATAAAATCTATCCAGCACAATGGCACCTTGTCAGCTTCACTGTAAAGCCACAATCTTCCCTCTCTTGTTGGTCCCCAAGACCACACATTAGTATAAACATCACAGTTTAGACTCAAAAAGTCCCAGAGTCTTACAAATCCAAACCCTGCATGCACATGGCAAACACGCTTAACCACTGAGCCATCTTGTCAGCCCCTTGGCTGTTCCTATTGTGACTCTCCTGGCGTCTGTGGTTATTATTACCACCCCCCAGAGGGGGGCTTTTCTTTCACCTTTTGGGAAGAAAATAACAAGCACACCCTCTTTGTTCTCATTAAGTATCTAAAAGTAAGCAGAAGACACCCACTGTTCTGGAGAAATTTGGCTAGAATGTGAATGCATCCCCCACCCCCACCCTGAAAATTAATCCCTGAAAGTGGATTCATCCAAGCAGAATGTGCAGTGTCTATCGACTATGTGCTGGGGACCACTGTAGATACCAGGGAGCAAAGTCCCTACAGCCATGGAGCTTACACTAGTGTAAGCAGCCAAACCAACAAGTAATAAACAGACAAAAGTACAGACAGTGCAGACACATTTGATGTCAATACTGGGAAGCAAAATCTACCAAGATAAGACAGGAAGAGGGGCTGAGACACCTGCTGACAGTTTTAATCACTGTGCTCATCAGGGTCAGAGCACCGCTCATACTTGCCTGGGAAAGGCCCACAGAAGAGAGACTGCCAAATCTCCGACCACCGCTCAGGGTAGCACTCAGAAACAAGGAAGCACCCTCCATGTGTATGGTAACCCTTCCTCCAAAGCTTCCAAAACAGCAGCAGCAGCAGCAGCCTCGGGTCCATCTTGAGGTTCTGGTGTTCACAAAGGATGCCGAGGCTGGAGTGTGTGTCACCCAGAAAGGCTGGCGTGAACTCACAAGAGGCTCCTGGCTGAGTCTTTGTGGGTCTGATAGCCACTACCTAGATCCCAAAGTGGGCTCGGCCTGGCCCCACAGAGGCAGTGTGCACTCCCCTACCTTTCCTCGCCCCTCCCCATCACTAAATCATCCCTGAACTAATCAAAGAGCTTGCACTGGTCCGAACTCACCAGAAACCTCCTCCAGCGGCCACTTTGTGTTCAGTAGATTAATTGCGGCTGGGGGAGGGGAAGGGATCCATTTTTAGAAAATCATTACTTTCAGAAAGAGAGGGGGCCACTTCTGGCGGAGGGGAAAGTGCTGAGCTAGCAGTTTGGGCCTGCTGCTCCAGCGCCAGGAAACCGGGCCTGTGCTGTGCAGGCAGCTCTCTGTGCAGCCTGCATCCATACTGCCTGAAGCCAGGCCACCCTGGCTTTCAAGCCATGGCTTCTGTGGGCCTTGCTTCTTGCCTGCCTGCCCTATGTTTGATGGCATCCTAAACAGAAGGGGTCTCCCCGGCTGGATCACCATCCCGGTATCGACCATCCCGGGGGCTGTTTCCCACCCCCCCCCCCTGGGGGGGGCCCCCGCCCGGGGGGGAAAGGGCCCCCCCTCAATAGATTTAACCGAATGAAAACTGTAAATCAACATTAGCAACCCCGCATGGCTGGGCCAGCTCTTTGCGTGTATTTTTCTCAATAGTCTGTGTCGAGACACCCCGTGAGGCAGGTAGAATGTACATTTTGTTTCAGAAATGGTCAAAAGTGTTGGGTGACTCAAGCCAGTGCGTGCTCAAAGCCAGCTGCGCTCCATTCCTACGTCTGCAACTGTGAGGCCTCTCTGTCACCACTGTGCCTGGAAGGCCATCAGCCTTAGCTACAAGATGTGTAGGGAAGGGTGGGCTGGGGCAGACCACTGACCTTCTGAAGAATAGGCTCTTTCTGGGTCAGGAAAGTCGGCCAGCATCCTCTGTGGTATGATGGCGTGATCTCAGGAGAGTCCTCGGTGTAAGCAAACATTGCAAAATCCTGGGCGCTGGGTTTAGCAGTCAGGCAAATGGGTTCCGTCCTTTCAAGCCAGAATTTATTTACGGAAATATACACCTGCCTTGGTCAACCCAGAAATTAGACAGCATGTAAGTCAGACCTAAACTTCCCAGTGGGGGACTCTCAAGAAATTGCCTGATGTCTGGTGGGGTTGATGATGGTGTGTAGCTCCAGAGAGCTTCACAGAGCAGTATGGAGTGAAATATCAGGACACTTGCCTGGCAAAGTCAGAATCCGACCGAGCAGCCTTATTCTCAGGCTCCACTGAGGCTAACAAGACTCTGCCGTGCTCCCCACCTCCAAGCCAGCACATGCTTTCAAGTGAGGCCAAGAAGACAGGACACTGACATCTGTGACAGATGCCAACAGCCCAGCCCTGGACACACAGATTGTGGGTGGCATCCTCCACAGTGAAGTCTTAGCTTCCACCTAATGCCAGACTTCTTGAGAGCCTCCCTGGCCAGGCAGCCACCCCTCTAGCATCCAGCTTCCTTCTAGAAGCCAGTTCCTGCTTCCCCAATCCAGGGGAGCTCTGCTCCCACAGCAAGGCCAGCAGAAGTTTATTATAGGACTCTAGCCACACAGGATTAGATCCTGTAAACACCTCATCGTGTAACCCTTTGGTCTCCCAACACCTCCCTCCTTACAGGGTCCCAGGGGAAACTATACGGTAAATACCCTACTTCAGTGGTCCACAACCTTCCTAATGCTGCAACCCATTTAGTAGTTCCTCATGTCGTGGTGACCCCAACCATCACTTCATTGCTACTTCAGAACTAATTTTGCTGTTATGAATCATAATGTATCCGATATGCAGGGTATGTTATGCCCCCTCCATAGGGGTCATGACCCATGGGTTGAGAACCAACCACTGCCCTACTTGGTTAACACCACACCTGGCACCCACCAAAGCCTTCAGCAATTAAGGTGGAGAGGGTGACCCATGCGACCGTTTAGAGTATTTGTTGCCCTCACAGAGGTCCTACGTTCAAGCTACCTCTAACTCCAGTTCTAGAGGAATCTAAGACCCTCTTTTTACTTCCTTGGACATGGCACATGCACGTGCTTTACACACGTATATGCGGAATGTAACCTAAAATATGGACAAAATCTCCACTCAGCTTATGCAAGTGAAATACTTCAGACGGATCTCACAGCAAGAGCCCTGGGATGAGCTGGACCACAGGGCCGAGAACCTGTCACAAAGACCCCAGCAGACAGTCTAAAGTGAAGCTTGGATTTAATCATTACTTGAGAGGGAAGGAGGTTGGCGACTTCATCCCTCCGACCACTGTGGGACACTTATCCTCTGTCACTTCCTGGGCCCCCAGTCCCCAGGAAATCTCTTGGAATCCATTTTGGCAAAATCCCCTCCCCAGAGAAAGATGCACTAGCTCAGCAGGGTTCTTGAGGATGTTCCTGCCACCAACCCCACCTTCCCGATGACACACCCATTCTCCTCAACTCCACCAACTTCCAAACACTCCGCACAGGGCTCCTTCCTTTTCCCAGCACAATGAGGAAACCTGCAGGCGGCCTCACCAAACAAAAGGGTGCTCATAAGGCAGGTGGCCTCCAGATTCCCTGGCACATTCACTGATTGTCTCCACTGGTAAACTTCCCAGCCTCCCTCCAAGCAAAAGAAAGAGCAGCTGAACAACACAGGATGAAGTATACATTTTAAAAATTGTTTAATGGAACATAAACTCCTTTAGAAAAACATTCAGCCAGGTGATAACACCCATAGAAAAGAACACCAATCTTGTGTTTATCTTTTTTAATTTGGCATGTTATTTGCATTTATATTAAAGCAAAGTGCATCTTTTCTTATTTTTCTTGTTTATACACATTGCACAATACATAAATAATGATGCTTATAAAACGTCTTTATATTTACAAGTAATAATATATTTATATATAACATAAAATACATTTTTCTTTAATAAATCTCAGCTTTTTTTTTTAAGGAGTCCTTTCTCTCTCGAAGCACTACAATGCTAAATTTCCAATGAGAAGGGTTCTCTTGTTCATTTAAACCTTTGTAGTTAGAAAAATAGCTTATGTTAAAGTCTAAACATGCTCATTGAGCTAAGAACAGTGTCAAAGTATCATACGAGTGTATGAGCTGAGAGAAGAGCTGGGGACCAGCCTAGGATGGTACCTTCGCCACGACAGGCCACACCCTTCGTGGTGGGAAGGCGGCCATGAGCAGTTCCCTCCCCGGGATGCCCCTCCCTGGTCTACAGAGCTCAACACGCACCCTGGGCATGGGGGTGCAGAGCTGACTCTCCACATGTGGGAGAGCCTGATGAAAAACCACAGCAGGGGGACCAGCTGAAGGGCCCGAGGGTCCTGGGTTAGCAATACTGTGACAGGGCTGTCCCTGCAGCCCTTGGGAAGCCCATCTCAAGAGAGAGATCCTGGAGCAGATGGCCAAAAAAACGACAGACGTGACAATGGTAGCTAGCGGGTGACAGGGGAGAAAACAATTGGTTCTGGTTCAGCCTCTAGCAGGCTGGCTTCTCAGAAGCCTGTGGATAGGCCCGCGTCCTAAAGGGGGGGGGGGCGGGGCAGGGGCTTCAGCAGGCCGGGGCAAAGTCTGGCAGCTGCTGGGACACCTGCTGCCCAGTCTGCCCAGGTACTGCCTCTGCCCCACTGAGCATGTCCAAAGGGCTGGAGAGACACACAGCTTGAAACCGCAGACTCTCAGCTGGGGACATCCATAAGGAACACAGAAAGCATTTCCCCATCTGCCGCTCACACACACCCCTACACACTTGAACATCCACTCCTGACGATGCAGATGAAAGGGAAGGCAGTACCCACTTTCATATACCGTATTTGGCAGTGCTGACTTTTGCTTCCCGTTTTCATATCAGGGTATCCTGTCAACCACACCCACCACCTTAAAAAAAAACCCAAAACAAAAAATTCATCATAAGCCATTTCTCAAACAAGACAAACAAAACACAAATAAGAACGACGAGAAGGGAGAAAAAAAAACAAAAACAAAAAAAAACAAAACAAAACAACCAACAATGGTAACAACAAAACCGACCAAAGAGTTTGCATGAGAAGCAAGCACTCGGGAGGGAAAGGTTAGCAGCAAGTAGTTTGAATGGTGGCCTGCTCGGCTCACGATCCGTCCTGTCCTCTTCTCCCCACACCACTACCGGCTGTTGAAGATGACCTCCAGCCAGCACGGGCAGCTGCTGATGAACTGGCGGGTGTAGCACTGGCCCCAGCCCTTCACGAAGCTAATCTGCACGGTGAAGCCCGTCCACGGCTGCTGCATGAACTCATGGTCGTTGGGCCGCTGCAGGCTGTATGCTTTCTCGTAGTCGAAAGCCTTGATGGAGAAGCCAGGAAAAACCTTATGCACCAACAGCGTCCTGGAGTCCGGGTTGTCCAGTGTGGCGGACTTGATGAAGATGGGGTAGCTGCTCCGGTTGTACACCCACACGCCATCCACCTCCCTCGTCAGCTGGATGCCACAGCCAATCTTGCTCCGCACTTTCTGTACCAGCTGACTCTTGTTGTCCGAATTGAGCTGTCCCAGGCAAAAGCCATTCCCCTGAGGTAGATCATAGAAGATATCCAGGGAGGGCTCTTGGACACAGTAGAGCCTCCCCACTCTCGTCTTCTCCTCCCAGTATGCCACCACGCACCAGTGTGACCGATCCCCAGGTTCCAGAAGAAGTTGGGAATCTAGAAAACAAAATGGCAGACATAGTTGGCGGCGGTGACCAGGTTCTTCTCCTTCCTGAAGTCAAGAAGCGCGCATGCGCGCACGCGCGCTCCCCATAGCCAGCACAAAACAAAAGAGGGAGTAAGGATAAGCCTAGACTCCAGTCTTCGATGCTAATAGGGGGGAAGACATCTTAATCCACCTTTAAGCCCAGGGCTCATTGCTGTTACTCGCCTTGTTCTTCCATCCAACCAGGAAGCACAGCACCAGCACCTGTGCCCACCCATCCCTCCCTGAGAAGCAGTTACGGAAACCCTTGATAATTTGGTTTTGCTATGTTGGTCTGGAAAAGGCCTCAGAAACAGCCTAGCATTACAACTGCTTCCGAGGGAGGGAACCAGAGACAGCTCTAGTCTCCCCCCCCCCCCCGTGTCCTGGATGATGGAAGTTGGCCTAACTGGCTGGTGTGACCCAGGCAAAGCCGGGTGGCCTGTACCCTCTGCAGCTAGCTAGTAACCCAATTCTCACACCAGTGCCTTGTTCGTAAGGGAGCATGAGCCAGTAAAAACAAGGATGATGCAGGTGGCTTCGAGGTTTAAAAAGAAAAAAGCAAAACAAAAAACCATCTCCCTGACAGAAACCACCTCTGTGTGTGTGTGTGTGTGTGTGTGTGTGTGTGTGTGTGTGTGTGTGTGTCAGCAGCAGCCTGTCCAAAAGTTAGCTTTAGTTCAAATGTCAACCAAAAAGTGGACCACCGCCAGCCCACCTTCCCCAGGGTTGCCCCCCACGGCTCACACTGCCCCTTACGGCATATTCTACCCGCCCCTTCCCTGACTTGCAAGTCCTCCCTGGCACAGCCCACAACAGCCTGGAAGCCTGGGGAGAAGGTGGTGAGGTGATTTTCCTAAAGGAGGGCTATGTAGAAGTCCCTTCCCCCTTCCACGGGCACTCTACTGCGTCCCTTAACTCTAGCCAAGAGAACAGGCCTCAGACTGAGGACATAAATCTCCCCAGCCCCGCCAGGCTGCAGGAACGAAGGCTGTGGTTTTGTGGCTGCAGGGTGGAGACCGGAAGTCTTTGTATTTGTTAACCGAAATGGGGAAAGGCAAGAGATGAAGGCGCAGGGGTGAAGACACCCGGGACAGAACTGGGCGCCTCCCGCCCCTCTCCTCCTCCACTAGGTTCTGTCGGTTTGATGGGCCCTGAAGATGGACCACTGTAGGGGTGTGTGCCCTTGAGGCCTTTGTTTCTGGGCTCAGAGTGACGAGGGCTGTCCCCACGCAGGGGTAGGACCAAGAAGACTCAGCCTTGCTGGTAACCCAGGGCAGCTTGGTACATCAATCCATTCCAACTTTTACAGGCATGTTAGGACCTGGGATCCAGTCAGCACCATTGTGGTTTCTTTTTTTTTTTTTTTTAAAGCAGCAGTCGCTTTCGGATGAAACATCCCATGAGTGAATTCAGACATTTGTACAGACTGATAGCCACAAGGTAGACAGACAGACAGACAGACAGACAGACAGACACACACACACAGAGCAGCTGTCCCCAACTACAGACACCCCCACACACTGGCCTCCCCAGCCCATACCCAGTTAACACACAAGGGAATGCCGAGATGGGGGAGTGGTGGATTCCTCTCCTGGAATCCCGACCCCACCAAAAGTCAACACCACAAACGTGCACTGTCCCCTGGCCCCACTGCCACGAATGCCCACCAAGTATACAAGACTGCGCGTTTGCCTGCACACACACTAGAAAATAGGAAAAACAAGAGAGGGACGAGGGCTCTGCACAGAGGGTGACTCACCCGCCACTGACTTGTCTCTGCAAAGTGTCCATCAACCGCTAATCAACGTGTGAGCACTGGCAAGCTCTGAACTTTACTGCAGAGGGAGCCCAGCTCTGAAAGTCACACCAAGGACCCCTAAGGCCCAATGAGGTCAAGACACCTCTAGCCGCAAGAGTGCGCCCAAAGTGCCCCAACTTGGGACAAGACGACTCCGGGAGTGCTTTAAAGAAAAAATTCTCGGAGGGGCCTCCCCCCCCCAAAGGCTTTGTTTCATGCAGTGCAGCCCCAATGAAACCTGGCACCAGACAGTGTGGGTAGGGGGGAGGGGAATAAATGAAGGGAAGGGAAGGGAGGAGGAGCCTGGGATCAAGTTGCTCCCCATGCCAGGCCAGCCAGCCTGTCAGCAAGGGGTGGGGGTCCTGTCTGGCCAGCAAGCCTCTGGGGCAGAGCAAACTGGGAGAGGCTGGGGCCTGAGGCCTGTGGGGGAGGGTCCTCTTCATCTGCACAGTCTACCCAGCACTTTGCTGCCAGACAACCCCAGGAAAATTCCCTTTGCTGTCGAGGTTAATGGCCCAGCCCAGATAAATGGCAGCGTGGGTGTCCCCCTCAATGCACCACAGGGAGACCCCTACATGCTCCTCCCAGTCTCCAGTCCCACACAGGGCAGCCCTACACTTCCCCTTGCTCCTGCCTAGACTATATCAGAGCACAGGCCAGCAAAGCCCTCATGCACATCCCAACGCTGAGACCACACCTCCAGAACTAGAGCGGCATCTTACAGTGCTGGTACCCACACGACCACCTTGGCCTGGACACTGGCTGGTTCCGCTCACTCGTGAGAAATCAACATCATCCTCCTAGGAACAGCTACCTGAATTGGGCCCAGGTCTCCGAGTTTCCAGGACACATGGATGGGGCCTTAGAAGTCTTGGTTACCACAAGATGAGGGGGGAGGGAACAGGAAACCAACTCTGGCCTCACTGCTCATATTCCCAACACAAACCCACTCAGGCTCGTCAAGCTATCCCAGCTTTATAACCTTTCCGGTGTTTTCAACTTTTCCTCCCCAGAAAACTGTACAGGGGCTTGTTTTTTTTTTTTTTTTTTTAAATGCATGCATTCATTCTAAAGCATCCAAAAGAAAAGCTGCATTGTAAAAAGCCCACTAATCAGATGCCTGCTCACAATTTTTTATTACAGCTGAGGGAATTTTTGGAGCAATACCAGAAAAATGCTGAATCTGCCTAAAATTCCATTAAGGTGTTTGCCCCTCCCCTCCCACATTTTCCTCAGTGCATAAAATCTTCCCTTTAAGGAGATGGGAGGAGGGGCTGAGGGGAGAATTTTACAGTGTCTGTGCATAGCTGAGCGAGGACAGCTACAAACCCTGGTCACCAGTGAACACAGACTAGATACTCGTGAATGACTCTCATACTTTAGGCCTCCATAGTACATGGTGACTAGACCTCAAGGCCGAAATGTATAGGGCTGGGCTAAGTACTGATGGAGGACTTCTTTAATCCCAACACACTCAGGAGGTAGAGACAGGCAGGGCTCTGTGAGTTCAAGGCCAGCCTGGTCTACAGAGCCAAGGCTACACAGGTTTCAAAACCATCTCAAAAAATGTGTGTGTGTGTGTGTGTGTGTGTGTGTGTGTGTGTGTGTGTGTGTGTGTGTGTGTGTGTGTTGAGATGGTCCACTAGGTATTGGTGCTGGCAACCAAGTTTGAAGCCTGGAAACCCAGTTGTCCCCTGACTTCCACACGAACAACACAGCACATTTCTGTGCCCCACAAAATAGATAAATACAGCAAGTAAACAAAACTTAATGCAAAGAGGAAAGGCAAAGTTTGGGGCCCCCAGCTCAGAGCCAAACATCAAACTATGAGGTCGCCCAGAAACATCAATGGGACCCTCCTATCAGACACCCCCAACAGTGGTGTCCCACACAGAACAGGCACTGATGAGGGGTGGGGGCAGGGGGTCCTGGAATTCAGACCTTTAGTGACAGAAACAAGCCTGACTCAGAATGGACAGAGCCACAGGAACTGGTATTCGCTGCCAAGACATGGGGTGGCTGGAGTTGCTGCTGATGGCAGAGGAGGGGTCTCACCCACTATCACCTGTCTGCGACACTTGGATTATAAAGTGGTATTTCTCTGCCAAAACCCAAGGGTATGATGGCCTGTGAATGCCTCCTGCTTGGTCAATCCAAACAGGAAGGGTACCTAAGGAGCAACATTGCTCCCAAAGGCCCTTCCATGCAGGTCAGGGGCAAAGAAAGGGCAGACAAGTACACACAAAGCCCAGGAACACAAACACTGACTACTACACCCTACCCGCCACAGGTCAAGGGTCCTCCCTCCTCAGGACCGGGCACAACCAGCAGCTGTCTCAAAGCTTGCTCCTCCCCATTTAAAGAGCTGGCCTTTCTGAGTTCACTCCAGCCATTCCAGGACCATGGATAAACACAAGAGGGTCCAACACTCAACCTAGGCTTGTCCTACATCGTTACAAACATGATCAAAACCCACGGCCAATAGGGAAAGCTATTGGCTTGAAGCTGCCGTGCTTGCAAGCTACTTGAGAGAGTGGTCAGAGGGTGTTTTGGAATCTCCTTCAAAGGGCAGGGTACTCAATCAGATCCCTGGTCCAATCGGCTAAATCCCTAAACCCAACTTTTCTTAGCAGCCCTCCATGGCCCACCCCTACCCCCAACCCTGCATCACGGCACATTCCAACTCTGGTGGGTTATTATCAGATTCATCCTAAAAGGCGGTCTCCTTGTACTACTATGAGAACTTGATTCAAAAGTGATGGTGGGTAGCCTATCATGTGCCATGCTGTGCACACCCAACAGTCTCAAGTATTACTAGAAGGGGCCGCCCCTCAGTTGTTTCTTTCTTGTCGCTCAGCATCTTTAGAAAAAGCTGAGCCCCCATGAAAAGGCCTCTTACTGGCTGCCCAGCTACTTCTAGCACCTACCCCAGCTTGGAGCCCTGCAAGTTCTCTCTATCCACCCTCCTGCAAACCACCCCAAGCTTCCAGACAGTCTGATAGTCTAGAAAGGTCCTTACAGACAAATGATGAATAATGACTACTAGTTCTGAGATGCACTGCCCACTGGTCACACCCAACGCCCTGCTATCCATGCCTGTAGCCCCCAGCCAGAGGGTCCCTCCTCAGAGCACTGCTAACTATCAGAGGAGAGAACCGAGGGAAGGCAAGG